TATATATATATATATATATAAACCTGTGCTTAGGTTTCTTCACTGTTGTCAGCGTTCGTATTTGTAGCTTTGCTGTTCTGCTCCTGCTCTGTTCCCAAGGCTGATATGCAGCAGAGAGAGCGTGCTGGGCCCCAGACAGTCAGTTTTGGCTTTCTACGTGAAAATGTAATTCTGCATGAAAATGCAATGCCGTTTCAGCTGAATTACCCCATTGAAAACTTGCCACTTCATTCTGCTCTGCTCCTCCAGGAAAACACCCAAAATGTGCCACAGTAGCTAAAGAAACGCTAGGGGAAGCTGAAATGACTTGCAGTTTTGAGAAGCGGTGGTACGAGGGCTAGGAGAGACGATGAATGTGTGCACTCCCTCTCCACCCTGTAGAGCTCAGCACGTGATCTTTACCTTCCCTCCCTCTTCTCTGTGGGCATGAGAAAAATCTGTTGGCTGGAATGAAGGAAGCCGTTCTGCTCCCCATGGCCCCCTCCTGCCCCTCTCTACCATGCCCACTGGCTTTCCCAGCTAACCAAGCCTGTTTGCGTTGTAAAGCTAGTTTACGTAATCTAGCATAAGAGACAGGAATGGTGATGCTGTGCTTGCAGTGATTATGGGATGTCTTACAACTGTGATATGTATTTTTATAAATAATTTCAAATTGTCTCTGTGGAGACAATTAAGGTTGCGTAGACGAGAAGTCGAAACTTGGAATGTGCCTGTTTTATGCAGCCTGAATTCTGTGTACACATACACATATCTCATTCCTTATGGTACGGTTTTAAGTTACACGAGCTCATGCATTTTTAAAAACCTTTGTGGTACATTAAAAACGTGGTTGGCATTTCCTGACTTCTGTGTCCTTCTCTGCATGACAAGTTTTTTTCGAAACAGTTTCATGTATTTGATGCAGTAATATCTAAAAGCTCGATCAAGGTGAAGGCTCTGTTTTGATAAATACGATACAAAACCTTACTGAAATTCTCTGGCCACAGGAGTTACTAGGCTAAAGAATTATTGGTTGGCCTTTGAACTAGAAGTACATTTTTTAAAGCTTGTGACCCAAAGACTGCATTGTAGTATTCAGCAGCTGGAAGAACAAAACCAGACATTGTACTTCTCTTTCTATATGTCCTTAGCCACAAAACTAAGTGTTGTTCTTTTAGCATGGTCCCTTGTACTAATGGGGATTGCTAATGATAAGCCCACAGAGGCAGATTCCTTGATGCATCTTTTTAAAGCTTGAGCCTGGCTGCTTAGTTATTCTTCGTTCAGTTCTCTTCTGTGCTAGAGGTGTCTGTCTAAGCTTGCAAAGAGGTGGCTACAGCCTATGAACTACTTGATTGATTTCACTAGATATTCATTCTGAAACCAATGATACTTTTAAATATTAACGCTTATGTGCTCATCAGATTATTTAAAGAAAAGTGTCCTGCTAAGAAACTCCTACAAAACACAGTGCTCTTTCGGAATAGAAGTTTTTAATACCACCTGTCCATGCTGAAGTGAAGACACTTACCTTTTTGTTATTTTTAGTGAAGAGATCAGTTTTTACGTATGTGCAAACAATAATGCTTCAGTCTTATTATTACCAACAGCCAAGCTCTTGCAAATGTCCACTGTATATGCTAATCGATCTAAAATACTTTAAATAGCACATGAGGTTTTTTAAGGGGGGACTTTTCCAGTTCCAGAAGTGTGTACTTAAGATAATGATTTTTTTTCTTCTTTATAGCAACTTGCAAATGGAGATAGAGGCTTTGAGAATGTGGAGCTGGGTGTCATAGGAAAGAAGAAGAAAATTCCAAGGAGGGTTATTCATTTTGCAAGTGGAGAAACAATGGAAGAGTATAGCACAGATGAAGAGGAAGATGAACAAGAGAAAAAAGACCTGTTGCCACCTGTAGATCCTGTAGGTATTTTACTTGATAAATTGCTACTTCTGGTTTACTGGGTAACTACCCACATTTTATACTTTAATTTTTGTGCCACAAATCTGATTTGGTATACAGTATTAAAGATTCCCTTAATTTGATTGGCTCTAGGGACTGAGAAATCTGTGAGAAGTGTTCCTGAGAAGTTTTGTCCTGGAGTTCTCCTCCACTAAAGTAGCCCTATTGTTGTCTCACAAAGGCAGTTCGTTACCGGTGTGCAACAATCCAATCCACCCACTGAGTCGAGATAACGATTTTATTTCATTTCTGCGCAGAGATGGGAGCTAGGTGGTAATTCCACAAAACTAGCACACTGAACGAAACTTTATGCACCTCATTTACACACAAAACTTACAGAGTTAGTAATCATTCTTTTTCCAATGATTGGTTAGTAATTACCATCCTATCTGCTATTGGTCAACTATATTCTAATTAGCCTCACTTGCTACGTAAATTAGCACACATATTCCTTACAGTTGGGGCGAGGGGGTTCCAAATCTTTTTGGTCCTGAATTGAGTTGGTGGTTGCGATCTCCCCCTGCCAGAATTACCTTTCCCCCAGTTACTGTTTTTCGGCAATCGTCCAGTTTTTCCGGCACCTGCTGGGGTAGGATGTTCCCTTTTATCAGGTTCTCAGTACTTCTTCAGGGCCTGCCTAGTTGCTCCGGGATGTCTTTGGTTAAAGGATACTGAATGTTTGTTCTTCTGATTAGGGATGATTAAGTGTCCTTTACTTGCCAGCTTACAAAAACATCTTGGCCAGCTAAGTTTCAGAGTTAGCCTTCAACACTATTAATTAGAAATGGGTTTAATTTCTTCACTGTTCTAGTCTGTCCTCTCCAGCATTTCCCCCTCTAATAATACTTGCTTGATGTCTCCTTGATTTGTACTGTTGTTTAAAAAAATGTGCAGGGAAGGCATTTGTTTCCTTATGTTTGGTGACAGTGGAGAGTTGAACATGTAATTTAATGTTACCCTACCAGCAATTTGATATAATTAAAAGAGTAAAATGGGGAAGAAACAGATGACTTGCTGAAATAAAGGAAAACTGGTGTAATCCATGATATATCAAAACCAGGTTTTAAAGGGCCTGCCTAGTCTGTGTATGTAATGTTCATCTGTCTTGTAAGCCCTTAACATGTTGCTCGACCCGTGAATGGAGTTGCGAAATAGAAACATTTATTGGTCCAAATTCAAGTGGAATTTCGACAATTAAAGCTGTCTCCACTAGTGTGTGTTGTAGCTGCTAAAATACGTTTTCCTTTTTGTCAATGATTCTGGATTTATACTTAGAGGTAAAAGGAAATGTATAATCTGTTTTATTCTCTTGGCGTGTCTGACGATCTATTTTGTAGCAGTAGTGTATTTGCGAAGCTCGCAGCCGTGTGTGCCAGCACTGGCGGCAGCAGCTCCCCGCCCTCTGGCAGTCAGTCCCAGAGAAGATCTGCATCCATCTCTTCATCTCTCCACAGCCCCAGTCTCGTGTTTCTTTTATGACACCCCCACGAACCGGTGTCCGAACCACCTCTTTTCTCTACCCTCCTACAACAATTCTTACCCCGGTACATTGGGTCTGCAGTCCTATTCCCTGCCTGCCGGCAGGGCTCCCTTCCTGGCCTTCTCTGGGCTTGGGTGCCTGTACTGGGCAGAGGTCGAGACTCCAAAATTGGCTGGGTCCCTCCTGGTGCGCTGGCGTGCGGTCAGGCAGCCGGGAGTCATTGCTTTGCGCAGCAGCTGGTCCTGCCTGCTTGCACAGAAACCAGTGCCCTGTGTTCTACTTGACATTGCTGTTGAAATGACTTCTGCACCATCGTTGGGGAATCTGCAATTAAGAAATGTGGTTGAAGCTCTGTATTTACTGTACAGTAGTAGGCCTTGTACTTACTTATATTCATATCCATCCTGGGAGAGCTTGGCTTTGTTGAAGGGACTGCAGTGAAGAGTTCGACTTTCTGCTCATTCTCTTCTGAAGAAGTGGTAAACCGTAAGGGGTTTGCTTTGGGAAGGACTGGCAATCAGTTCTTTTATTCCCCTCTGTAAAATGAATTTATCTTGAAGGAAAGGAAAAAAAAAAAAAAAGTAGTTTGAAGACTGAGCTGCTGTGAGACTGTGGGAATTCAGCTGGAACTGGGGTTCCTAGCAATTCACAGGTGAAGCTGCTGAATTTCATCTTGGACGGATTGATGGTACCACTCTCTCTTTCTTGCTAGGCAGTTCTTGTATACAACAAAAAGTAACATTAGCCTGAGAGCAGGTAGGATATCACCAGTGTAAAATACACGTGAAGTTTATAGATTGAAAATAAATGTATTATACTCACAATGAGTAGATACTAAGCTGCCTTGCTGGGTGTTGGGGTTTTCTTCCTCTGTAAGGATCTACTCAAAGAAGTGCAAGAACTGCAAAACTTACTGAATATTATGGTAATAATTCACGTATATTCAGAGTCAGATCTGTTCCCCACTATGCAGGTTGTATCAGATATCCATGGATGCATATGAAGAGATTTTTTTTTTTCCCCAACTATAATTAGCAGGGGACCAGATCTATATAGAGAGAATATAATTTTTTGTGTCATTTCCTCTCAGTAGAAGTGTTCCACTGCGGTGCAGTGATGGAAGGCTCGAGAGCCTTGATGTACATATTATGAGGCCAGAGATGTGCACGCTGCTGTACAAATGGACACTTAACTAAAGAGCCCTCAAATATGTACCACAGCCGGGAATGCTGTGTGATCATTCCCCTGCTTTCCTAACATGGATTTTTTTTCTGAATACCAAAAAGTATATTGTATGGCACAGTTACGATTGCTTTATTCTCCTTTTATAGTTTATGAATTCCTTAATTTTTATTACACTTTTTAATAAAAGGACCCCCCCCCAACCAGAACAGTTTATTGTGGAGCACAGTATGCCTTATTATGTATTGCTTTTCACCTTGACAGAATAAACTTGATTAGACCAAGGGCTGCCATTAAGTGAAGTTTACCTTATCTGCTGCATGCTTCATGTATCCCAGCTGAGCCAGTCAATTGAAGAAGTGTTAGTCCAAGCTGAGCTTTGATGTTTTAGCCAACAGCTAGCTGCCTTAAAAATGTTTTTATTGTAGGATTTCTATAAAAGCAATTAACTAGTCAGTTTGCTGAGACCAGCATGTCTAAAACTTGTTATCTCAGTTGGGATACAAAAAAGTACGTTGCAAGTAATAGCTGTTTCTGGTCCAATTTATTTTTAGAAAAAGCACATTTAATAGTTTGAATAGAAACTTAGCATCATGAAATTTCAAAGCTCAGCTGGTATTGGCATCCTGGCAGCTTCTGAATGAGTTTAAGGGAAACAAATACTTTGCCGTGTTGTAAAGAAACATCTTCAGTAAGAACCTTGGTTTAATTGTGTTTCAGAGCTAAGCAGACAATGACAATGTCTCTCTTACTAGGCAAAGTAACATGTATATATCCTGGTAATATGATAAGCAGAGGACTCAGTGTGATGGACTGCTGCCACTCATAACAAAACAAATTCTCAAAAAGAACTGGGTCTTGAATTTTGCTTTGAAGCAACGATTCTGATACTTGTATAGGTCAGCACTCAGTTCATTAACGTTCTTGGACTGGAGTGTCCATTCTGTTGTGTTTTGGTTTGGTTTTTTTTTAAGAATGAGTTGAATCCAGAACACAGGTGTCCTTAATAAATTTTTCCCTGGATTTTTTACATAATAGCATTCAGTATTATCAGAGTGTTCTCAAATTAAAATGTAAATGCTTTAATAACATAAATGCTTTAATTTTAACAGAGTCTTCTATTCTGTCCTGAAATTTAGATGCTTACACTTTATATGTAAATCTCTTTTTGCTTCTGCCCACCAAAACTTTATTTTGTAGTAATTAAATGTCTCTAACCTGTTCCAGAAGATAATCTTCCTGTTTATCCCTGGAGGGCCACTTGCTATAAACTTGTTGCATTCACCTATTACATGAGTAGGCAGAAGGTGGAGTCTTTGCAGAGTACCTGTAAATGATATAACTGTTGGTGATAACCTTAGAATTCATCCCAAGAACACCTCTGCAATAAAGCTCCAGAAGAGATTTAGTTTTATTAACCTTCAGTGCTTAGAAAGATTGAAACACATTTTTGCAGGAAGATTATCTTGATATCCTGTAGTTAAAAGGAGCTTAACTTCAAATAGCAAAAAGTCCTCTCTTGAGGACCATCGAACTCTAATTTTCTTTTAGGAATTTGGGGATGAGGGAGAAAGATAGTCACTGACCAAGTAATAGCTACTCCTAATATGGTAGAAGCTTTTTGATGGAGGATGGTGTGTGTGTGTTTCTGATCTTGTTTCCACTGACTTGTGTTAGATGCTACAGTCTTACATGGCGCACACACTGAAGGACCTATTATAGCAATGACCAATCAATAATTACACTAATTTAAAATGCATCTTGGCACAGTAAACAGTGGAGAAGTATCTGTTTGGTGGTGTACGTTAACTCTTAAATACAGGATTTGCTTTTTCTTAAGTCAGGAAATGATTCTTTTCCTCATTTTGCCATTTTCTCTGGCAAAAAGAAATACTACCTTCTTTGGAAAGTTCAAGTGTTATTAGGAACTGAAATCTGGCAAAAATAAATATAGATGTGGATCAGTTAGAAACATGGTGCACTCCGAAGTTCAAGGGAGTGCATGTGTGCTCCCTTCAGCAGCCCCATACTAGGGAGCAAAATTATGTTCTGTTGTTGAACCAGAGCCCTCGTGGTTTTATCAATGGTCAAATCTATTATGTTCATTCCTACTTAAAATGCAGCACTTGGATTAAAATTGCACATTAAGAATTTCTGTGATTTAAAACACAGTTGTCATAACCATTGTGTTTTCCATTTGAAACAACAAAATAAAGTCAGGATAGCTGAATAGTATAATTAAGCATTGTAGAAACGTGTACTAAAGAGACTGATGGCAGGAGAAATACTGTCCCCTTATAATAAACCAGTGTCCTATGTTTCATACTGCTGCCCCTTGTTTCCAGTCAAGAAATACAGTATTGCTGTGTTCTTGCGCTAATTAAAGACTGAACATTAAGCCTTCTCTGGCCAAAGGAGGTTGACATAAAGTATCTGGGTGTGTGGTTCTTGCTGAGCGTTAGTAGGACCTGACTTGGGTACTATTTTCTAGTATCGCTCAATGCATTAAAGCTGCTTCACGGAGTAGGATTAGTTTGTACTGAGCCGTGGCCCAACAGCCCTGTTCATATCACCCGAATGGTTCCGGTTTTCTCCAGTGCCTCTTCTCACCTCATGTTTGCCATTCCTG